CTGTCTTGTGTTACGTTTGGTTAATATGGGTAGTGACATACAAACCAACACGAATTTCGTGTTGATTTTGGTACAGTCTGCGGTGACTTTAGGGCAGAAAACAACGGAGAGACTGCGAAAATACATTCCTCCGATTGCGATGTCGGTATTCACCACTCGTTTTTTATTAAATTCCTCCAAGTAAATTAGCTGGTATTTTCTCTTGAAATTTTCAACCGAAGACTAGGGTTATTTGTGTTTTACTTCCCGTATTAACCGAACTTCTATGTTGAAATTCCTTTTCGGTTTTCGGTTTTTAAAATCCCCGCTATCATTTTTTTTCTCTCGAAGGAGGGAAAATCAACATCATTCCTTGAAGTTCCAATAGAATTCTCTTCGCATAGTTGAGGAGAAAATTACGGAAATTTGAAAGAATTAACGTTGAGGAGTTGTCATTTGAAAAATTAAGTGTAACAGGAAGTATGCAACGTAGCGAACCGAGTTCCGTGGTTTGGGAGTTTCACCGTCGTCGATTTGCTAGTTTTCGTTCCCATAAAATATAGAACATGAGCGGCGTCTTACAGCGCCTTCCGTCAATACAGCGACTTTGCATTCAACCTTTCGACGCAACTATTCGTGTTCATTGGATGCCCGTGTTGCATACCCTAAAAATTGAAGGCTCTTTAACTTTTCATGCTTTTTATCTGCGGTGTTTCGTGCAATCATAACCCTTCAGCTTATTCGCCTCGCTCGAAAACATCGAAGATCAACGCGAGTTATTTTGACCTGCTTTTTTTATTTTTGAATTTTAGAAAACTTTGCTCGACTAAAGTATAGAACGAAATCTTCAATGACACTAATTAATTTTTGTCTTGAAAATCTCAATGAGATTTTCTCACATAAATTTTAAATCTCCTAAATATTTCTTCTTCGTCTTTTCTTTAATGAAACGCATTTCAATAAGAGAGATTAAGACAGAAATATCTTTCAGATTATAACTTCGCTTAGCTTTTTAGCTGAATTGGTTTTCGTTATTTTTTCCTAGTTTTTCTACCAAAATTTTCAACGAGCCTAATTTGGGTGTGTGTCGTTTAATCATTTTATGTGTTTCAAAAAGCTCGTGCCCTTTTAATGATACGTATCACACTCTCTGACGCTTTTAAGAGGAGTAATGATCATTTAACACTTGTTTGATGAAAGAAAAATGTCAAATGATTTCATGAACTCTGTTATTTGCTCCAGGACCACTCAAAACCTTTTTAACCCTAAGAAACGTCATTTATGGCCAGGTCTCGTTAAACAATTCACAAAATGAATGCCCAGTACTAAAATTAAAATCAGAGCAAGTTTAATCGAGGATGCATTTGCATGACAATCTTAGCTCGAGAATTAAGGGAGGGAGACCTTTGGAAACAGCCTTTTTTACACGAAATACTCGGGGCTATCCAGGAGGTGTAAAATAGCCATTCCTAACAAGGGTCAGTAATGGGCTGGCCACACGCAAGGAACAAAGCGGCGTGTCGTGCTTTGCGATGGCTCGATTGATCTGTCATTTAAACCTGTGAAAAAGGATCGATTGTCAGGGTAAATCTTAATAATCGATTCTTTGCCGTAGCTCCAAACAGGAACATTTCAATAGTGGATGATTCACGCTTCGCCGCTGAAAATTAAATGGCGACGGAAGGAAGTCGCTAAAAGCAGCTTCGTGGCGACGTCCTTTTGGCAGTCAATACCGCCACACGGTGCCTCTCTCACATCGCGTGACATTTTTCTCCTCGCAACGAAGGGGGGGGGGGGGGGGGAGGGGCGTATCTATCGGCGGATCAAAGTCCCAGTTTCTATGGATCGGAATTCATAACTTAACAGCGCTGTCGCACCAGAGAAGAACGTCGTATGAACTTTCGACTAATGTTGCCAAATCTCCCCCGTCAAGGGCGTCTAACGTTATTCGCACTGAAAAAAAAAAAATCTCGGTGTATTTACGAAGAAAAGGGTAAAATTACCAAGAATTCAGGGTTCTATTTGATACCAGTTTTTTCTTGGTAAAATTACCATTTATGGAATCGGTAATTTTACCTAGAAATATCGGTAAAATTATTGAACTTTCTCGGTAATTTTATTGGACCTTGGTAAAAACGCCAATATTTTTTATCGACTATGGTAGAATTACCGAGATAAAATGGCAAAGTTACCGGAGTAAAAATACCGGTTTTTAGGTAAGTTTACCAGTCTGTCTAGGTAAAATTACCAATAATTGGTAAAAAAGTGAGATGGTAAAGGTACCAACGGACCTTGGTAAAAACGCCGAGAATTTCTTTTTAGTGCGTAACGCACTTTTCCCGCTTTTTTTACCCCCTCTCCTCCCAACTGAACGCGTATTAACACAGTCTTGGACCCTCCTCCTTCTGACTATAATGACCTCCGAAAGGTTCAACAGACTCCTATATTATTTGAACTGCATTTTGAAATTAGCAAAACAATCTCGGGCTCATTTAAGAAACAACACATGTGCCCGAGTTTCTCTTCGTGGATGAGTGTTTATCTATTAGACTGAAATTGCAGTTCCTCATCGCAAAATGGCGTCCATTTTCAAAAATACAGGAAACAGTTCAGTCAAGAGTCGGCCAAAATCTAAGGCGTTTCGCTTCAAATTTCAATAAGGTCACACTACTATCAAAAAGAAAGGCTATGTGAAAATTGAGATGCTTTAATTCAACGATATCCTCAATTTCATCAAAAAAAGTTCTTTAATGACGATTTAGTTAAAATTATTCGTCAGAAAAGTAAATTTGACAGGGGATAATTTTAGAAAAAACTTTTGAAAGTGAGAAAGTCCCTATGTGACCCATAGATGACGCATCTGGAGTCAGGCGGTTTATCCATGAGACGCACACTGGCGACAGGGGCGGACTGGCAGTCGAAAAGCTAAGAGGCGACGCGACCTACATTTGGGGGCCGGGGCCCTTCCTGTCGTTCGGGGGCCCCTCCCCGAGAAATTTTGAACATTTCAAACTTTCCAAACGCAATTTTCATCATTTTTGGAGTCCAATTCAAGAGTATTTGAATTTCAAAATAACCCATTCTCGAGATTCTTTGAGAGCCCCTCCATCACGTCTGGGGCTCCAGGAGCCCACTACATTTTCCTGTCCATCCATCATAAGCTTCAGGCGACCTTTTACGTCTCTTAGAGACAAATTTTCAAGGATTCTGGGATCTTGTGGTGACTGAAAAGGATCGGAAAATTACAAAATCACGGGGGAAAACGATGACTCGAAAAAGAAATTGCCACAGGATCCCTTCCGGGCCCCAGGACCCCACTACATTTCCCTTCATATTATGCATCATAAGCTTTAGGCGACCTTCTATGTCGCTTAGAGACAAATTTTCAAGGATTCTGGGGTCTTGTAGTGACCGAAAAGGATTGGAAAATTACAAAATCACGGGGGAAAACGATGACTCGAAAAAGAAATCGCCACGGAGCCCCTTCCGGGCCCCAGGGGACATTCGCCTCACCGCCCCCATGGCCAGTCCACCCCTGCCTGTCGTTGTCACTTAGTTTTTTTTTCTTTCTTTCTTTTTTTTCTAAACTTTTCCCAAACGTAATTGTGCTCCGCCGCTAAGCATGCTTTCATCGAAGAAAGGAAGCTTTCAGTCTTATTTGACCGGGACGGTCTGTTCATTTCCGGAGGCAATCTCTCGTGACTGAGACCGAGGGATGGAACAGCCACCAAGCCAAAGAGGCGTTACCTCATTTTCACGTGATCCCTGGAAAGCATCGAGTCTTACGGACATCAGGGCCTATCTTGAAGTGTCGTTACGTCTTTTTGCCAGCAGAACGGTGAATTGGAAGTCTAGTCGAGCCGCGTGGAGTTCTCGCGTGAGTGTGTAATAACGATCGTGTTTGTGGGGCTGTAAAGTCGCTTCTTTCCACACTGCCATGCTAAGTAAAAACACCGTAAGAACAGTCGAGCGTCGCCAAATTTCCTCACATTAGATGTACATTTTCTGCAAATTTAGAGAACATTTTCCCTTAGAATGTTTGGAGAATTTTATTCACAAATTTAATTTGTAATATCAGACAACGTTGATGAAAAATATCGATGACTTTCTCCATTAATAAATGCTTTACCGTAAGAAATTTGGCAATAGTTTACCGCTCATACGGCGTGCTTCCTTAGCACGGCAGTGCAGACATAATAACTGTATTTACTCGTTCTATTTTATTCATTTTTTGCGGAGAGAAATGCTCTTCTTTCTTCGTGATGAAAGTGTTCTTTCGACAAAGCAAAGGAATCCCACTACACATTCTCAATTTAAAAGAAATGAAGCCCGTCTTTCGATTTTTCTATGCATCCTCCCACTGACGTCATGTCATTTTTAAAACATGGATATGTTGTAACTAAGACCTCAAATGAATGTAAACATTGAAAAACGGTTATAGAATATCCCGTCAACGATTTTTTGTCCGCACACCTGTTTTTCGTCCAGTTAGTTTACGTCCATGCGTTTTTTTCGGCAGGGGAATTTTGGGGAATTTTTGCCCTGTTCCCGGGCATTATAAAGGAAAAATTGCCGACGCGTAATGACCGGAGCTAGACCACGAGACGAAATAAGAACACATCAAATGAATGTTGCCGTGCTAAGGAGAAACTTCCTAAAAAAAATCCATACACTGCAAATTTTATCTTATAACTTTAAAATATAAGTAAGTTAAAAATTTAACGAAAAATTTGTGCACCTTCTTCCAAGACTTTCAGAGGATTTAATCTGTATGAGGAAATTAACAATATCATCAAGCAGACCTGAAAATTTCGAGAGAATTTATTTGTAAATTTATTTAAATTCATTTTTAGAATTTATTCATTTATTAGTTTTAGAATTCATTTGTTTTAGTTTTCATTTGCATTTATTTGAATTTATTCGTGAGTTTATTTGTATTTATTTGTAACTTGCTGCGATAGTATATAGTTTTTCCGGCGAAATGTCAGATGATAATTTTTATTTTTTAATTTTTTTTTCAGTGCTACTGGAGGAGCCGACAGCGATGCTCATTTGTCCGACCTTGAGGGCGAAGAAGATAAAGATGGAGCCTTTGGAGGTGGCGTTGGTAAGTCAATGTTCAATTCGATCCTCTCCATAAAAAATAAAACCATTCTACGACCCAAATAGATAATTATCACAAAGTTAAGCCTGCAAAACATGTGCACTGAAAAAAAAATCTCGGTGTATTTACTAGGAAAAGGGTAAAATTACCAAGAATTCAGGGTTCTATTTGATCACAGTTTTTTCTTGGTAAAATTGCCATTTATGGAATTGGTAATTTTACTGAGAAATCTCGGTAAGATTATTGAACTTTCTCGGTAATTTTACTGGACCTTGGTAAAAACGCCAATATTTTTTATCGACTGTGGTAGAATTACCGAGATAAAATGGCAAAGTTACCGCGAATTGATTACCAATAAAAGTGGTATTCTTACCTGGAAAAAACAGTAAAAATACCGGTTTTTAGGTAAGCTTATCAGTCTGTCTTGGTAAAATTACCAATGATTGGTAAAAAAAGTGAGATGGTAAAGGTACCAACGGACCTTCGTAAAAATGCTGAGACTTTTTTTTCAATGTGGGATTGAGGAAGCCCAAATGGCGGTACGTTTGAAGAGAGAAGGGATGATTAGAAATCGCAGACTTTTTTCTCTCTATCTCTTTTCAAAATGAAAACTATCACAATTGCGCCGCACCAAGCACACGAAAAACTTTGCTGCCAGCAGTGGCGTGGCGTGCTTTGCGATGAATCGATTGATCGGCCATTCAAACCGATGGAAAAGTATCGATAAACAGGGTGTTCACAGCGAACACCTTAATAACCGATTATTTACCACAGCTTCAAATGGGGGATTATCGATAGATCGCAAAGTACGCCACGCCACTGGCTGTCAGTGTATTTTAATTAATTTCCTTGTAAATTTCCTTGCGGAATTTCACAGAACATTCACAGGGAATGAGAAAATACACTATCAACAGAATGAAGGTTGATAAAATTCCTAAAATAATGATAAAGCGAGGCGTTAAGAGAAGAAGTTAGAGATAAATTCCATGAAAGATGAAAAAATTCTTTACAACAAGCTGCGAGGAGGAGGACGAGGTATGGGGGCTGTTGTTAACGGTATTTGTTTTCAGATTTAGGTCAGAGTTGGGGGTAGCCAGCGCACAGAGTCTCCTTCTCTGTAATCTAGGGTATACTCATTAGAGTTATTCGTAGGATTTATAGCCTATACATTAGGGTGGATAAGCTTCGTACCCAACGACTACTTCACATATCCACTTAGCCATTGTCTACAGATCTGTTTGGATATTCTCACTGCGCTCTTATCTTTCTGAATTACATATAAGTCCTCATATCCGCCAGGTTAGTGAGAATTTCCGTACCTCCTTAAGAGATCGAACATTTTTGGGAAAGAAAATAAATAAATGGAATAATTAAAGAATATTTTAACGAACAATTGAATCTAATCCTAAGGAAAAACATTTCTTTCCAATTACACATCAAGTTTTCCAGTTGTAACGAAAGCTCTTATTTAATTTTTCAACTGTAAACATTTGTCTTGTTGAGATCAAAAAAATGTTATTTTCTCCTCGGAGTTGTCTAACAAAACATTCCAGTTCCCGGGAAATTTCGGCTTTCATATACATGGTAATCACTCACATCTTGATCAGCTACCGGGAACTTTCCCGGAAATCTCCGTTCCCATTCCCGGCATCTATAACTTCCCCGAGAAACTTTGATCTAGAGTACCTTACCAATATAGGGAGAGAACGGACATGTCGAAATATGGAACTCCTAGGGCCCGGAAGAGCAGCCAACCATCTAACACAAAAAACGTCATTACCAATCTTCCGATTCTAATATCAAACCAACATGGCCGAGAATTTTTATAAATGAGCGCTCTTTCCCGAAAGTGACCAAATTAAAGTAAAAACTAAGTCAAATACGTGCTTTCCAAACAACGGGTCGTATCAATTGTACCAATACCATTCTGGCTAATTTCAATTTATAGTTTGTCTGTATTTTTGGGCCTTAAAAGCTCCATAACCTAACCTCAAAATTACACACATGCCCGCACTCTCCGTATATATAGGTACATACCCTACTTAGATCATTTTTTCCTCTTCTGTGCGACCCCTTAAATTGGGGGCGCTGAGTAAATTTTAAAGCAGACGACAAACATATTCTTTTTCGTGCATATATATTTTTAATTAAAAATCTAGGAAATACTCGTCTTATGATCAGAGAAAACTAGGAATTTTCTTCCCTGAATTCTGTACAGAACAGACCCTAAAGAAGCACCCGTTGCGTGCTGCCTGATGGACAGCTCGAGTTACGCCGGAAACTTCCGCGACTTGAAACTTCCCGAAGTCGTCCTCTGCGGAGGGGCGTCTCGAATTAATTAAGGGAGACGTCTGAAGTCGAAAAAGTTCAAAGCGGCCACCAACAGCCCTTAAGAGTATTAAAATTGAGTGAAAATCAAGAGCCGAGGAAATGAACGGTCGCTCGTTTATGACTGCGAAATCGCTCGTCAGAATTTCAAATCGTTTAAGCTGTATTTGTATGTAAAACACTCGCCGGGGCACCAAGTTGCCGGATTGTGCAATTAACTGTAGATATTTTACATGGGTTTAATCGTGGTAAAATGCTCATTTTTCAGTACCATCTGGCAACTATGCCGGGGTACAATCTCGGGAGGAAAATCCCAGACCGAGGGAGCCAAAGTTCCACCCCTCCTTAAGAAAAAAAACGCTGTAAAAGCATTCGAATGTTGCCGAATTTCCCCCGTAAAATATTAATTTTTGGGGAAAGTTACGAATGGTCCTCTGTGAAAATTTCAGATATTGTAGAGCGAGCCGCGAACACAATATTCCCTGAATTTGAAGGAAAAATCGGTAAAAGTTTTTCAGGGAGTATGAAGGAAATTTGGCAACGTCTGAAGGTTCTTACGGCGTTTCTCCTCAGCACGGTAGTTAAAAAGAGCGACGTCTTAGCGAGAAAGCTTCCGGGCGGCGGTTTAATTCAATCATTTGTAAACATTCAACAGCCGCACTCGAAGAAGGTCTGCCGAGCGCGAACGGTTTGTCTCGCTTAATTACACTTTAATTATTAAGTTGTGTTTAATTACTCGCTTCGGTGGGGAATTGATGCCTCGTCTATTTTGTCATTCCGGCCCCGGTTGAGTGCGGTTTGCGACCGCGAAGTTGTAAAAATTTAGTTTGCCGCCTCGGCGTTGTCACTTTTAACCTGGATTTTACTTCTGTCCTGCGGGCTGATTGCTGACATTGATGGACAAAGCGATAGACAAAGAAGACATAAAGAGTGTGAAGCGATCCTATCGGTTAAAACGGGTGGTTGTTTTAGACTAAGGGGAGAAATGATGGACTTACTTCAGGGTCTCTCGTGGGTTGCCATTATTTAATCTATTGCTTACCTCCTTCGTCTTTAAAAACCACCCGCTTCTACCAATAGGATCCCTCCATACTCCCTAAGTCTTGTTCGTCTATCGCTTTGTCCATCAATGTCAACAATCAGCCCGTAGAACATAATACGTCTCAGACGAAAAGTCGTTATTATGTTGCAACATTGCAAAATATTTACTTGTGAATTTCATGTTTACTAGGAAACTGATGATCATTTTTTTGTTCTTTCACTTATTTTTCTTCGGATAACATGCAAAAATCATCAAAATTTTCCAGTGATGATAGTTGAAAACTCAAAGGTTCGGCCGCCTAATTGATTTTATTGCTGAAATCGAGTTCTTGACGGCACACTCAAGAATGTTTCTACCTAAACTGAGTCACCTTTTTCTTAAATGATTTTAAAAAATTATGCGTTAGTAAATATGGATGCTAGGACTTAGTAGGTTTTTGGACTATACCGCTTTCTTTTTTTGCCGTAGTATCCTGATTTGTTTCGGGAGGAAAGCTCAGTAATCTAAAAGAATGCCTGCCATTCTTAATATGTTGGAGCGCCTTCAATTTCGTATGATACCGTGCAGCACCTCTGTTGTGAAATAGTTGCTTGAGGCGCCGTATCACGCTGCGGCGCGGCGCGGCGGGAGGGCAGCGGCCAGCGCGGAACGCACAACCGACGGCGCCTACAAACCTAAGGGGATACTTCAAGCATCGCGCAATACGTGAAGTATCCCCCTGGGTTTGTAGGCGTCAGCGCGCGTTCCTTGCCGGCAGCATGCCGCTCCGCTGTGTGAGGCGCTAATATTTAACCTCGCGGAGTCAGCGTTTTTCAACTCATGATCATGAAATGTTTGCACACTCTTCATGGATTATTCTCATTTTAATTGATGAAAAATGAAAATATGTATTTAATGATTTCCAAATCTTTTTAATTTTTTCTTTTATATTTTGCGCTGCAGCGTGGTGTACTCGCAACCAAACGCTTAAAATTGGACGTATTTGACTCTAAAAGATCGATGTTCAAATGGGTTAACATTAAATATTGCATACCTCTTGGTTTTTCCCCCTCTTTTTTCGTTCTCCAAAATTTTGGATAAAAATTGCGCAGTTTCATTTTTGAAGAAAATTGAATTATGTGTATCAATTTCACAATGTGAGATGAAATTACGCCCCTTTCTCTGAGAAATGACACACTTAACTGATATCTACTGCGGCAAAGAACTTTTTGTAAAAGTAAGATGCGCACTCAGGGGTGTAAAAACAGTATTTTTAGCAACTGAGAAAACAAGAAAAACGCAAGGAATTCACTTTGGTATGAGAAATCCGTAAGAAGTCAAACAAAGGAGAGAGCTCCGGCAAACTCAGGAGATTATGGCGCTTTCCAGTGACGATAGTTGAAAACTCAAAGGTTTGGCCGCCTAATTGATTTTATTGCTGAAATCGAGTTGTTGGTTTTGCACACATCCATCAATTTCTTAAGCAATCGGCAAGAAAGAAGCAAAGCGAAATCTAAGATATCTAGATAAATCTAAGCGGTATCAAAGAGCAACATTTCAATCGATCGTATACGCCGCGCCGTCTCAAGGGACCGTTCAAATATTCCCTCTCTCCTAATTATTGCAACCGATCCCGGATGAGACACGCCATTCA